TGGGAGGGGGGCTGCGGGATGGGGGAGGGGGGCCGGCGCAGGAAGGAGGTACGCAAGCTTCCCCTCCGCCGCTCTCCCGGGGCGCTCGCGACGCTTCCTGCCCCGGCCCTCCTGGCCCTTCCTTCCTTTTCCACTGCCGTGCCTGCGCTAGGGCCCGCCAGCCTTTCCGAGGCAGTGGCTCTTGAGTCACCTCTGGTTCCTCTCTCCCCCCTCCCCGGCCCAGGTGCTGCTGCGCGTGAAGGAGAACGAGCTCCAGTACCTAAAAAAAGAGGTGCAGTGCCTCCGGGAGGAGCTGCAGATGATGCAAAAGGTCAGTGTTTTCTGGGAGCCATTGGGAAAGCAGCAGGAGAGGGGAGGGAGGGGAGCAGCAGGGCTGCATGTCACCAGGGTTCGGCTGGGCTTGATGGGATGCTCAGGCCAAACACTCTTGTCACCTGTGCTCCTCGTCCCTGCTCGCTCCCGAGCTCATAGCAACCATGTGCTCCGAACAGCGTGGGCTGGCATAGACTTACCTTGTACAAGGGAAATATCATGGAGAGTTTGCTGCTGGTTTCCCCAGATGTATGTACATATAAGCATGGACAAGCCAGGAGCCCTTCTTTCCCAGTTGGGAAGCCCGGATGAAGCCTGCCCAGCACTCCGCTTTGCCAGCCACCTTCTGTTCCCCTAGTTGTCCCCTTGCTGGGTGGACGTGTGTCCTTGGGCACCATTGCTGGGTGTGCTGCTCCCTCCACTGGCAGCAGCTTCTGCAGAGGGATTTTCAAAGACCCCTGCCAAAGGGGAACACGAAAGAGGCTTTTAGACTCAGTGATGCTCCAGGATTTTATAACTTTCTCACTTTTGCCGTATAAGCTTTTTGCCGTATAAGTGGCTGGGACCAGCCCTTTCAGCAGCCTGCATCTCTGGTGGGTTTATTTTTCCCATACAGCTGGCCCAAACACACACAGCTATGGTAAAGCCCACATCACCTCCTCAATCCGATGCTGCAGATCCCCACTGCTGCAAGACTAATGACTGCATTCCTCCCCGGCCCAGGGTTTGGGAAGCGCTACCTCCACGCTCTTCTTCTGAATGGTTTCTGTGTGGCCTGAATTGGGACGGGCTTCAAACCCAGGGCTGGCTCTCCCCTCCTCACCTGCTGGCCCTTCTCCTGCCGGGCTTACCTTGCCACCCCCCTCCCTAAATAATATCAGCCCTAAAACCTGCTGACCCCTCTCCCTCCCCTGGCAGGATAAGAGATTTGCCTCAGGGAAATACCAAGACGTCTATGCAGAGCTCAATCACATTAAGGTGCGCTCGGAGCGAGAGATCGAGCAGCTGAAGGAGCACCTGCGCCTGGCCATGGCAGCTCTGCAGGAGAAGGAGTCGCTGTGCAACAGCGTCGGCGAGTAACGGTGAGCACCGGGGATGCTGTGATGTTCCCTGCAGGTGCAGGTGGCTGAAACTGGCTGCCCCACTTTGACACGGGGATGGAAGCTGCCGGTTCCTCCTGCTCCACTCAGTGCTGAAACTTTAGGCTTAAACTCTTCCTTCTCTGCTTCTTGCATCCTCTCGTCCTGCACCCCTGCCCCTCCTGCTGTCCCTGACGTTCTCCCAAGGTCCCCAGCCCACTTCTTGCTGTGCTGCTCTTGATGCTCCTGCAGCCAGCACCAAGCACTGCTCAACCAGGAGGTGGGAGCCAGCCACATGCCGGCCTTCGCCCTGTGGCTGGGGTGACAGCGTGGGTGCGATTATGTGCTACCTACGTAGGTGATGTTTCTGCTGCGTTCACCTTTGAAGTGGTTTCCCTATCGCAGCACGGAAATTTTAGGTCTGCATCAAAGCAGCCCTGACTAGACTCAGCCCTCCTCCCACACTCGCCTGCGGGCATCCCTGCCCGCAGCTGGGGAGGGAAGCAGGGTGACAGGAACAAAGGTGTCCCGTTGTCCGGAGCGCTTCTGCTTCTTGCTTGGATGTCGTGGCCATCGGGACTGGGGTCACCCTGCTCTGCCAGCGCTTGCTGGTGGGTGCCGAGATGAGTGGGTCTGTAGCAGGACACCAGGCGGCCATCTCCCGGGGGAGCAAAAGGGACAGCATTTCTGTGCTTGGAGTCTTTCTAAACCATTTCTGGTTTTGTCTCCCTCTAGGTCTGCTCTTCGTTTGTTTATCTGTTCTTGTTTTGTATTTGCTCCATTCCTCACTTGCAGGGAGGGGGAGGTTGAATCCCATCCGTTATTGCCTTGGCAAGGAATCCCACCCACCCCCCCAGCCTCCTCACTCCCCTCCCAAAGCTTTTTTGATGAACCCCTTTTGCCTGCATACCTGAGCACATTGTTTGGACTGGCTCCTTACATGCACCTTCTTCAGGATTTTATATGTGAAAAATATATTTTATAGAGGATTTTTTTCCCCCTGGGGAAGAAGGGGAAGAGGAGGGGGAAAACTTTTACTACATCACCAGCATTTTCTAACCTGAAAAGGAGAATCTGGTTTCCCCCCCCTCCCCAGCCCCGTTGCTCCTGGCCACGTAGCCACCTTCGGCACATATTCCCTCTCTTCCAAATATCTTCGCGGCCCCCCTGGGATGTACGGCGACGACCACACTCCCCCACCCGTGCCACCCCCAGGGACCTGTGAAGAAGACATGCAAGCCATAGGAGGGAGCCGCCGGGGCAGTCTGCCATGGATGTGCTTGCCTGGGACTTTTGAAAGAGGAGACCTTGGCAAGAGTCCGCATGATCGAGCTCTCTCCGTGACTGTCCTTTGGCTCCTTCAAGAACCCGAACTGGCAGGAGCCCAGAGCCACGGAATCTCTCCTTTCTGGGGAAGAGGAGCTGTGAGGCTGCTACTGCACCCGCCGGAGCCAGCCCCCCCCAAGGTGGCAGCTGCTGCTGCTCTGCTACGCCCTTCAACTTTTAACTTAATAAAATCTTCCCCTTTCGCTGAGAAAAATGTGTTTCTCAAGGGGTGCGTGTCCTTAACCTGGTACAGGGGGGTGTCATTTTTCCAGGTTCCTGTGTGATTTTTTTCCTCTGGATTTGGGAAGGGAAAGCAGCGGGAGCCCCCCCAGCTGGGGAGCAAGAGGAGCCCTGCAGTGCTGTTATCCAGCTGTCTGCTCCACCTTGGGGTCTGGGGGGGGAAATAATCCATGACACCACTCTGAAAATCCCACATGGACCCTCAGTCCCATGGAGCAAGAGCTGAGCCTGGGCTGTGTTAGTAAATCCAGTATTGTGGGGGGCAGATGGTGCTGCAAATACCGTATACTGGGGGAGAGCAGAGGGATCTCAAATGCTTTTCTTCTCCTGTTTTTGGGTGAAGCACTTTGCTTTTTTGGCAGGATGGAGGACCCTGGGATGACTGCTCCTCATTCAGCCCCATCCCAATGTAAACGTGAGTTGCTGCTCTGCAGAGAGGCTGCTGGCAATTACGGAAGAGCCCTAATTGTGGGCTTGTGCTGAGGCTGGAGGTGCCGTCTGGAGAGGGGAAGGCAAAGGGCTCGAGGAGGACCCTCGGATGGAGGTGATGGATGCGTCGGCTGGGAGGCTGGAGTACTGCAAGACATGGGGATGGGAGCAGGGTGTAAGGATGTGGTGGCAGCCACAGTGAGGAGAGTGAGGGCAGCACGCGTTCGCTCAGCGTGTGATAGCCTCGCTGTGGTATCGGTGGCTCCTGGGGCAAGGGAGTGCAGGCAAGTACAGACCCCCTCATCCACGGGCACGGCTGCAGCGACTGCTTTCCCTAGGTAAGGCAAGCTGCTTCGTAAGTCACAAATTCCGGTAAAACTGGGTTGCAGGCTTTCGTCACGTGCACGAGGCCCTTGGGCAACCCAGCGGATGGTGCAAGAGGCCAGGCGCTGAGCTCAGCAGCTGGCTCCCCATCGCGCCTGTGCAGAGCCAGGGCTTGCTCTCACTGCTGCTTGGCCTCCTGCCTCCGGCCTAGAAACCCTCCCGTCCCTGTGCTGCCCAAGGTCCAGGCTTTTCCCTCTGCCTCCCAGCAGGACGTGGCTGTTGCCATCAAGTATGGGACAGGGCGAGCATTCGGGACGCCGGGGCCCTGAGATGGGAAGGAAGGCAAGAGGCGATAGAGCAGCTCAGGGCAACTGCTTCCAGGCTGCAGGGCTTGGTCTTGCCGTGGGGGATTGGTAGGGACCAAGAGAGGAGGAAAAAAAGTGGGGTTCAGCGTACAGTGTTGCAAGTTGAGGGATGTGTGCGTGGTTTTAAGAAAAAACAACTGCTGAAGCAATAGTCTGTGTGGTCATACCTACCTCTGGGTGAGGAAACCCCCAAAAGTGGGGCACTGGGGGCAAGTGGAGGGTGAGTGAGGGGTGAACCGCAGACTGCTGGTACCTGCGGCTCGCCAGCCCCTTCGCTGAGGGGTTCGGTATCTTGTGTTTGTTTGGGTTGCTTCGTTGGCGTGGTGTGGGTTTTTTTTGTTTTTGTTTTTTTTTTTTTTCCTTCCTGACTGGGGGCTGGTGACCCCGATAAACGTGTCACGTAAGCGCGGGCAAAATGTGTGGGTGCCTGACATGCGGCCAAGCCGCCCCTCCTCGAGGCTCTGCGGCTGCAGATCAGCCGCCAGCCGGGCAGGAGCGTCCCGTCATCCCAGGGTGATGGGGGACCGCCGCCTCCCAAACTGGCGTGGCGTTAATCGCACAGCCCCCATCTCTCCTGCGGCGGGGCGATATGGCCGCCCTGTCGTCTCCGCATTGCTATCTCCTGGGTGCAGGGGAGCTGGGTGGGGAGAGGAGACAACCAAAATGCCCGCAGGCGACAGGCGTGATGGCCAGCAGAACCCAAAAAGCATTCCAAAGCGATGCCTGTACCCCATCCGCTTGCTCTCAGCTGAGTTGTGACTGCGAGAAATGTCCCAGCCTCAAGTGCGGGGAAAACCGCAGCCATGCGGGCACCCTGGTCGCATGAGAGCCAGCATGCCAGCTCGCATGAGCTTGCCCTTAAAAACCAGCTCGTAAATCTTTTAAAACAGTGGTAATCAGTTGAGCAGCCAGAGGCAATGCCCCTTCGCCATTTATTGGCATCATTAAAGCCCGCTCTGCTGTTAGCAGTGGCCAGGCTTCGCGCTGGGCTGACCGCCGCTGCATTGCACACCGAGGGCTCAGGGCTGAAGCTCTGCTGAGCACGACTGGAAAATCAGCTAATTTCCCTGTTTTGCCACTCAAAAAAGCACTGGAGAACTTGGATGTGAGTGCCAGTGAGGCCAAGTCCCACTGCTGGGGATTTTGAGCCTCTCTTTGAAAATGGAAACAAGGTAAAATAAAATGTCGCTGGCATTAGTTGCCAGAAGTGCCCCCGTGCGCTCGGATGCCAATGAACAGCCATCCTGCCCCTACAAGGCAGGGGCTGTTACCTAGCGGATCCATAGCACCTCCATGATGGATGCAGTTTGACCAATTAAGACAAAATCCACAGCTGGAGGTGCATAAATCCTCGCGGGGTCCAGTTGAACACAGCATGGGGAAGGAGGGGAAGGTAAATGGGATTACGGAGAGGATTCCTCTGCCAGGCTCTGTCCTCTGGGGTTCATTGGAGAAGCAGTATTTCCCAATTTCTCTGCCACCTAATGCCAGAAATGGGAGGCACAGGAGGCTTGGAGCACTTGGGTAGCTCTCCTCAAGGAGAAAAGGGGGTGCAGGGGATAACCCACCCCACCCTGGGCATGGTAGCAGGTTCCTGTGGCCAAAAATACAGGCACGAGCCCAAGCTGGGCATGGGGGACTGGGTGGCCATTGGGAATAATTTTTCCTTCTGGATGAGCCCCACCATGCTGCCTGCAGTGGGGTGCTGGTGGTGCTGGGCCCTGCTTCCCAGAAGCAGCAGGGCTTGCATTGCCCTGCAGCATCTGCTTCCCGCCTCCAGCCGTGGCATCCCGCCAGGGGCCAAAAACACCTCTCGATCCTGGCCAGCTCATGTTAAGGGCGCATCGCTGTAACAGTGCAGGGTTCAAGGGGTGCTTTCCAGCATCAAGTGGGGAGCTTAAGGGTTACCTTGACTGGGATCCCCCCCCACGTGCAAGGCCAGCAGCAGCCTGATGAGCTGTGACCACCCATACGCTTTCCCTCCACTGAGTCGCTTGGGGGCACGGGATCTTCCTCCTATTTTGACTGGCTAAAAATTAGGGAGCTAATTTGGATGAAAGGGTTGGAACTCGCCACACGTAGGGGAGAGGGTGTTTGCCTGCTGGCAGTGGCACCCACCAGAGGAGGCTGAGCAGCCCTGGTCGGCTGCCGGAGCTGCCCAGGTGACCAGCTGAGATTAGACCCCTAATTTTCAGCTGGCTAAAGTTAGGTAAAGCATCTCCCCTCCTCCCTCCCTGCCTCCCCCCGCTCTTGCCTCCCCGTCACTGCGTTGCCCTGATAATAGCTGCCTGCTTTTTAAGGCTGGAGGCTCTGCGGTCAGCCCGTGGCACTGCGCCAACCCCAGGGGCTCGGGGCCGATGCTGACACCCCCCACTCCTCGTCTACTGGGATGTGTACGGGTGAGCCGCTTCTGACGGTTAAAAACTTGGATGCAAATAAAAGCAGATGGTTCCTTATCTCCGTGCGCCTGGGTTGCCTACGTGCAGGCAGCCAGCGACGACGGTTTATTCCCGGCTAGGAAAAACGAGAGGTCCTTTGGCCGATCAAAGTGTTGTGCAGAGGCCACCAGAGCTCGCTGCCTGTGCGCTCCATATGGGATAGAAAGCGATGTATTCCTTAGGTCTTAAGCAAAAAAAAAAAACAACAAAACAAACAAACAGGGGAGGTGGGAGGGTGGTTATTCCTCTCCACAATTAGGAGCTCTTTGCTCTTAATAAAATCAAGTGATTTGCAGGTGCTGCGAACCTTTCCCATCCGCCAAATGAAGCGGGGCACATGAAGGAGCAGCACCAGGGAGGGAGGCACAAGGGGATGCCCCCAGCAGCCCTTCCACCAGTGGGAGAGCACTGGGGGGCCGAGTGCCTCCTCCTGGGGCAGGGGCACACAGCACCCTCACGTAGTACATGTGCATGTCAGGGACGGAGCATCGAATATTTCTAATTCTAATTTCTATTATTTCTATTTCTATTATTTCTATTTCTGTATTTATTTGTATTTATATATCTATATCTATTCTTATGTATGCTTCTGCGTGTCCCTGGCTGGTGGTTTTCATGCCGCTGGGCATCCAGGGTGCATCGAGGTTACAGATGGGTGCTCGTTGTGTATTTTAATGCCCTGCTGAAGCACTGGGGGGGTTGGAGGTGCCGGGGTTCACCTCCGAGCACCGCACGGTGTGTCGGTAGGCACCAGGTGGCTGTGCCCACATGTTTTTAAGAAATAAGGGGGAAAACATCATCTAAATCCTACGGGCAAGATGATGATAGTGGCTACATTTAATCTCCCAGAAACGGCCGACCAGTCGCCCAGCTGGGAAAGGGTGGTTGATTGTCACTGTCGTATGTCCCTGCTCTGTCCCCTCACAGAGAGTTGTGTGTGTGTGTCCCAAAAAGGGGACAGCCTGCTATTTGTCACCCTCGCCACACGCATGCGAGGGCTGAGCTGATGTCCCCAAAGCACCTGGTGGGGAGCAAAGAGGGCAGAGGAGGGGGCAGAGGCATTGGGCCGTGGGGTGTTGCTGCTGAGCCTATTTTGAGCCCAGTGCTTTCTCCTTGGTGTCCCCCAAATGTCTCTGCTAGTGTCCCTCCTTGTCCCCCTAATGTCTTCCTCAGTGTCCCACCTTGTCCCCTGGTGTTTCTCCGTCACTCCTTGTGTCCCCCCCAAATGTCCCTCCCTGACCCCCAGCATCCCCCCTAAGTGTCCCTCCACGTGTCTTGATGTTGTGCCGAGTGTCCCTGCCATGTCCCTCCCTGTCTCCCCAGTGTCCCCAGGCGCTCCCCAGTGTTCCCCCATGTCCCGTCCCAGTGTCTATCCTTCTCCCCACCCAGCGTCCCCCCCAGGTGCCCCTCCTTGTCTCCTCCATGTCTCCCCAGTGTCCCTCCTTCTCCCCACCCGGTGTCCCCCCAAGTGCCCCTCCTTGTCCCGCTGTTGTCCCCTCCAGTGTCCTTCCCTGACCCTACCCAGCACCCCCCCCCCAACGCGGCTCCTCGTCCCCCCGGGTCCCCACCCA